CTCTGTCTCTGTCTCTCTCTGTCTCTGTCTCTGTCTCTGTCTCTGTCTCTCTCTCTCTCTGTCTCCTTCTCAGGACTCTGACAGTACTTACTTTTGTTGTGTTGTGATTGGTTGTTGATGATGTGTTTTCTCTTTATATTCTTGAGAAAAAGTCTCATGTATAGAAGGATGGCCTCAAACTCACCTTGTAGCCAAGGATGACCTTGAACTTTGGTCCTCCTGCCTCTACCTCCTGAGTGCTAGGGTTACAGACATGTGCCACCATATCCAGTTTATACACTGCTGAGCACTGAACCCAGGGCTTCAAGTATGTTAGGCAAGGACTATACCAACTACTACATCTCCAGCCCCTTTATTTGTATTTATGATAACGTCAGTCAGCAAAGAATAATGGGTACGCAATGAGGTGAAACGGAAGCCACCTTTTTGTTTGTTCTTAGCATTTTTATCAGTGAAGAGTTTGCTGAAGGAAGGAAGTGGATTGGATTTCCTTTCCCTTAGAGCTAAGGATGTGGCTCAGTAGTAAAGCCCTTGTCTAGCATACATAAGGTCCTGGGCTTTCATCTCTAGCACTGCAAAAAAATGTTTTTCTTGGAGCTATAGTGTTGAGGATTGAACCCAGAACCTCTTTATATTATATACCCTCAGCCCTGGTTTATGGAAGTTTTTCTTTAAAGGAGGTGTAGAATTTTCAGGGTTTTTTTTTTTATTGTTATTTGCTTTTCTGGTGTTTTTGATTTTTTTTGTTTTCTCTGAAAACATGTCTTGCCATGTAGCCCCAGCTGGCTAGCCTGGTGCTCACGTTGTAGCCAGGGCAGACCTGTAATTCACAACAGTCCTCCTGCCTCAGCTTCTCTAGTTCTTGTTGGTGTTACAGGTATGTGGCACAGTGTCCAGATAATTATTTTCTTTTGATGAAACCTGTCTCATACCTCTCCCAGTACATATAATCCAGGGTCAGCTATGAATCCCACAATAGATCATTTCCAATTCCACAATTACAAGTCTAACTATCTATCATCTATCTATCTATCTATCTATCTATCTATCTATCTATCTATCTATCATCTATCAATCATCTATCATCTATCTATCTATACATATATATATGTATATGTGTATATCTACTGGGATAAGAGAAAATAGAAATGACTATCCCTTGGATAAGTCCTCTCTCTCCCTCACTCTCTCCCTCCCTCAGTAGTAGGAGCCCTGCTTCTCCAGTTTCCAGACACCCCAGGTTTGGTAGCCAGTGAAGCAGCCTCCCCACTAACACATAGATTTTGCTCCAAAACAGGAGTGTAATCTGGAAGTGAATTGCTTTCTTAAGGGCAAAACCAAGTCTCAAAAAGAGAACTCACTAAATATTAACAGAACTATTAATACTACTAGTGATCTTTTTATCTATTTAAAGTTGCTTCACATTACATTATATGACTTTATTCAAAATCAAAAAGAGCTGGGGTGGTGGTACATGCCTGTAATCCCAGCATTTAGGAGGTAGTTTAGGCTATACAAAGATGCCGAGGCTGGTCAGGGCTACAAAGAAAGACAGTGTCTCAAAATAAGGTAGACTAAAAATGAGAAATAAATGAGTGACTTAGAAGAATTGATTCAACCCAGAGTCTAGCCAAAGTTGGGACTAACTTCCTGTGTTCCTTTATGATATATATGGTCTCCCCAGGGCCAGCAGGTTCATTCATAGAAGTTAAATGAGGTGACAAAGATCTCTTCCAATTCTAGAATGCCCAGATAGAAAGTTGGTAACAACCAAGAGAAAGGCAGCCAGCAAGCTGTTTTTAGTTTCAAAGTAAAAAAAGCTTGATAGCAGCCAATATCTTGCTGTGAGATTTCTATGGTCCTCCCCCTCCCTCGAAATTCTGTCTTTCCCAAGACAGTTTTTCTTCCTTTAAACTTCCAGGTGTGTGCTGATTTGTATCAGTATGTTATTGCTACAGGTCTGAGTGGGAGCCCAGTTACATTTCAGGAAAATGTTCAGAAAAGTAACAAAATCCTCTCAACCCCACTTTCTGTGCCTTACCATAGCACCCAGAAAAATAAAGACGTCACTATTTTCTGTCAGTTGCTCTTCTAGGCTGAACTTTGTTTAGCAATGAGCCTGATTTCTTTGTTTAAACACTAACCAAGAGACACACACTTTCTGCTTCTCAGAAGTTTGTAACGTCCATATAAATTTAACCGTGCATATGCACACCTCCCCAAAAGCCCCCATAGAAAGTGTTGACTGTTACATAAAGCAGTAGCTTGGAATGTCTTTCAAAGAGTTAGTTATGGGATTGAAAATGGAGATCCATTATTCGGGTACCTGCTTAGCATGTAGGATACCCTGGGTCTGATTCCTAGTGTCAATAAATCTGGCATGGTGCTACAAATTTGTAATCCCAGTACCTGGGAGGTAGAGGCAGGTGGACCAAAAGTTTAAGATCACCCCAGCTACTTAGAGAATTCCAGTAATACGAGACCCTGTCTCAACAAAACAAATGGAGTTGGAGTTCAGTAGTTAAGAGCACTGGCTGCTCTTGCAGAGGACCCAGGTTTGATTTCCAACACCCACATGGCAGCTCACAACTGTTAATAACTCCAGTTCCAGGTTATGTGATGCCCTCTTTTGGCCTCTGTGGGCATTGTACCCATGTGGTGTACATTACTTACATGTAGGCAAAACATCATACACATAAAAATAAATAACAAAAATTAAAACAAACAACAAAATGTTAGTTATTCACAAAATAACCTAAAGAAACATGCAAGTCTTGCTTCTTTTATAAGTGGGCTGTCTAACGACAGCTATGGTGATCACTCTGAGACCTGCAAAAATTCAGGGTGTCTGGAGTTACTTATTATTATCAGGCATTTGGTTTCATAAACACAATGCCTTTAGTTTCCTTATATTCTAAAGACAGAAATTGGTAATGGAAAATGAATCTGTTTATACTTTGGCTAAATGTTGGGGTAAAGGGGAGTTGAATTCTCTCTATACTATGCCTGTAGTTATAATGTTGAAAGTCATGACACAAAGGCTAGGTAAATTGAATTTAGACAGGCTAAGGGGTATTTGGTGGTGGGGTAAGGGGACCTGAACTCCAAGTTGACTCGTTTCTGTGTTAGAGACCCAGCCAAAGAAAACTGGGTCTTTGAGATTCTCCTGGGGTGTATTTTGGGGGTATTTTTTTAGGTAGACTCTCACTATGTAGCCCTGGCTACCCTCAAACTTGCACTGGTCTTGAATTTGTGGTGATCTTCTACCTCTGCTTTTTAGTGTTAGTATTACAGGCATGCACCACCAAGCCACCTTTGGAATCAGCTTCTAAGCAGACACCTGCCTACACGCCTCTTAAACACACTAATTCTGCAAGTGGAAAAGGTCATAGTCTGATAGCAATAGTGGGCTGGAGGGACATGATGTCTGTCTTTAAAATATCTTCCAACTCACAGGATCACAGTTACAGTAGGATTAGGCCACCATACCCAGAACTGGGTGACATTCCTCCAAAAGGCTTTCAAAATAGATAGAGACGATCCCATAAAAAAGCTAAAAAAAGGATGCAGACTCCTTTGGAAGTCTGTCTCTAGGCTCTCAAATGGCCACTGTCAGAAAACAAACAGTGGGATTTAACTAAGCACCAGGAGAAACTAGAACCAGCCAAGGACAGGAGAACCTCAAAGCTTCTAAGTCAGGAAGGAATGTTCTAGAACGTCCGTGTCAGGGGTGGTTCTAATGTCAACGTCACCAGCTGCTCTGAATCAGGGTGAAGATGCATGTGTAGGTTTACCTTTCATTTCATTCCCAGTGTGTACACTAACTGGCTCTTTCCGTCCTGGGAGGAGATGGTGTTTATTAAGTTTATCAAGAAGCAGGTTGGGGAAAACCACCAGTTACCTACTTGTAGTACAAAATGGAAATTTCCTTTCTCATGCATGTGACTTTTTTGTTCTACCCTAATAGCCCTGTATTTTAAAAATAATATTTTTCTCAACAAGTCTGAGTCCTCACACCTACCTTTGAGACAGGGTCTTACTCTGTAGCCCAGGCTGGACCTTGAATTCCTGATTCTTCTGTTTCTGCTTTCCCAGTACTGAGATCATAGGTGAGCGATAATCATAGGTGAGCGATAATCACGTCCAGTGGTTTGAGTCTTCAACAGGCAAAATGAGATTCGTTGTATTTTGAAACAAAACTTTCTCCACTTTCTGCCCTTGACACCTGAAAATTATTATCTTCAGTTATTCAAACCCGAAGAATTCTTACTGTCCTTTATTTGGTTAGAAAACTTGACATTTTGGAAGCACATACCTGCTGGGGTATATTTGCATTGTCATTAAGCACTGCCTGCCTCTGTGTGGCAATGTTTTTTGTTTTTGTTTTTTTCCTTCCTTCCTTCCTTCCTTCCTTCCTTCCTTCCTTCCTTCCTCCCTCCCTCCCTCCCTCCCTCCCTTCTTTTCTCTCTCTCTCTCTCTGTCTCTCTCTCTCTCTGTCTCTCTTTCTCTCTCCCCTCTCCCCCCTCCATCTCTCTCTCTCCTCTCTTTTCTTCACCCCCACCTCCAGGATTTTGGGGCACTAAGTAGATAAGATGTGAGATAGCTTCATTGGGGTAGTTAACATGCTTGCTTGAGGTTTTAAGATAGACCTTTGAGAAAGGCCAGGGATTTCCCCTGCACATCCACTAACTGCTTCAAGTGGTATCTCTTAGTCTGACTTAGTATTTTGTTTTGTTTGACTGCAGCATACTGGAGCAGAAGGGAAGAGCCTTGAAGCTTCAAAAGTCCTGTTGCTACAGACCGTGAACAAAGCAGAGTGGACCCCTGTGTGCACCAACAAGCTCAAAGCAGGAATGGCTTTTGGTAAGTCATCCATTGGAGGTGGCATTTACTCTTTGAATGTCCCGTGGCAGTATTCATTTGGTGTGCCTGCATACTTTGCATAACTATTTTCTTTATAGCCCAAACAATAGGACATCCTAGAAAATGGTTTCGGTGACAAAGAACCAGGGAAGTAACCAAATTAACACAGTATGTTCATTTTTGAAATTTGCAGACTTGGAGGATCCAAGGAGGATGTATTTGTTGGGGGGGAGGGAAGCAAATTATAATAACAGCAGAGCCACAAATAGCCACACAACTCTACAAACAAACAACAAATAAGCTGTGTTCTTTGTACGTTCTGTCTTAGGTGAAGGCTTAATCTGTCATACAGAGAAGGTAGAACCATCTGATGACACTGTCCCCTGTAATCTGTCCTGGAGTGGACAAAAAGAGCAAATCAGGGAGTGTGTAGGGCCTGATCTACAAATGCTTGTTGAGAGACTTTAAAAGAATGGGATACAATGTGAGTGAGCATTTGAAACTAGGATAGAGTGTGTGGTGTCAGGACAGGGTAGGTAGAATTTCCTTCTTAAACTCTGCTGAGTTCTTTGTATTGGGAATCTGCTAACACTGCTCTACTTGTTCTTTATAAAATATATAAGTTGTTGTGAAATAAAGTGACCTTACTGTGCTATAGAACCTGGAACTTACTCCTGGTAATTGAAGGTCTTGCTCCTTTGAAACCATCTGGTCTGAGAGTTGCTTTTCAAGTATTTCAAACTTTAAATAAATGCTTTTTAAAATCCTAAACTATATACCCAAATAATGTAGACTTCCATGGATATTGTCTTGACTTTGTTTGCGATATTTTCTGGGAGTTAAGTCCTCAGATACAAGCCCTGTTCACCCTCACCCCAACACACACCCACTGTGACCTTGGGGGGAACTTAGCTCTTGGAATGACTGGGCTGTAATGTGTATGAGCCTGAATGATCTCCCACGTCTCTTGCAAATTGAAAATGCAATACCCTGTAGTATAATTAATTAAATAATTATATCCTTTAATTCTTATCCAGCTGAATTTACTATGTGCCTGAGGCAAACTATCACTGTGTATGTGGGGAGAGGGGAAGACAGGTTTGCTCTAGCAGACAATGAGGAAGAAAAGGGTCCTCCCTCCGGGGGCTTTTATCCCCACTGTCACCCATCTCATTGGCCGATCTTTTGATAAAGCAGGACTTTCAGAATCTTTGGTTAATAATTAATTCCCTTGCAACACTAAGGAAACAGTGTTCTATGAATTTTATATTCAAATAAGCAACGTTGGGTCCTTTGAATTCTTTTCCTTTCTTTTTTCCATAGGGACCTAACTTCTTGTCCTGGTGTAACTGCTCATCTGCCAGCGCTTTCACCCCATGGAGCCCCAAACTTTGTTTTACTTTGAAAGAGTTTATTAGTTTTCTTTCTTACCGAACATCCCCTTCCCAAAGCCGAGCTGTGAACAACAGTTTAAATGATGCTCACATGTCTTTCTTGTTAGCAGCTGGCTGTCTGCCTCAGAGTGGTGCATTATTTGGGTTTCATAACAGCATTTTTTTCCTCTCACAAATGTTAATATGAAGTGCAGGAAACCACATGAACGTGGCAGAGTGAACCTGCAAACACAGTGTTATCTGGAAATGCCAGCTCAGGACTGTCCTGTCCAGAGTCCTACCTGTCTTTGTCCATTTGTATGCTGTGTGGGATGGGCTGTGGTGAATCACAGGATCTGCTGAAGACCTTTGCTGGGGGCTCCCTAGGTCCAAGGCCTGCCCTCCAGGAAGCCAGGCACTCACTCATGAAATCTCCCAGTTCTTAGGACTTCACTAAGTGGTTCCCTTTGATGAATGTCTCTGACACTCAAAGTACAAAGCTCTTTGTGTGTTTGTGACCACCCCATCTGGATTGCAGAGTGCTTCGGAGCAAGGAGCTACTCACAGAGCCGTGTTTCTCAAGGGTGGTCTCATCTCAGGACCTTCTGCATCTGATTCACCTGGATGTGGTTATTAAAGTATAGATGCAGGAGCTGAGAGATGGCTCAGCAGTTAACAGCACTAACTGCTCTTGTAGAGGTCCTGGGTTCAGTTCCCAGCACCCACATGGCAGCTAAAAACCATCTGTAACTTCAGTTCCAAGGGCTCTGACGCCCTTTTCTGGCCTCCATAGACATCACACACACATGGTGCACTATGTACATGCCGGGAAAACATATATATATATATATGGCTGGAGAGATGGCTCAGTGGTTAAAAGCACTGACTGCTCTTGCAGAGGACCCAGGTTCAATTCCCAGCACCCACATGGCAACTACGAACCATCCTTAACTCCAGTTCCAGGAGAATCCGAAGCCCTCTTCAGACCTCTGTGGCATTGCACAACATGGGTGCACTCACATACACGCAGGCAATACATTCATACGCATAAAATAAAAATAATAAAATATTTGAAAAAAAAAGTCACCAATGTAATGTCAGCAGGCCTAAGTCATCGGAATTTCTGGGGCTGTGGGACTCAGGAAATTCATGCCAGGTATAACTTGTGGCCTGCTGGGGTTGAGAACAATTGTATAGAGACTACATCTGCATCTTGCCCTTTGCCTCCTCACCCCCAGCAAAGGGTGCAGGTCTACACACATGGTAGGTTCCCAGGAAACACCCCCTTGTTGATCTGAGCAGCAGCTACCAGGATGGCTTTGTTCATTCTTCCTGCCTTCGCCTTTGGGGGATGGGAAGTCAGCATTATCTTTGAACTCACAGAAAGCCAGTTTCATCTAAACACATAAAGCATCCCTCCCTTGGTTAGAGGATGGAATCGTGTTAAGGTCTCTTTCCTATGTGTCTTGCAAGGACAGTAGCACCTGCTGGAGTACAAGGCGACATCAGCTGCGGGCAGCTGGCGTGGAGCCACAGATGGCAGAAAGACCTGAGGAAGGGAACAGTACCTACTGTGGGAGAACAGGAGCCATGTCAGCTGCCCTTGGTGTTTTATTCCTAGTGGTATTTTGTTCAGCTGTTGGTCAGTTTTGGTGGCAAGAGAGTGATCCTGTTGCTGAAAGGGATAAGGTTAAGCTATAATGGACACACATCAAAGGGCCACAGTGGTGGTGGCAGACTTAGGTTTGAATCGGATGTTAACAGACTGGTGACATTTGACCCTTCCTTCCCTCCTCTTGTGCTGCCTCCTATCTTGAAACCATGGGGTAGTCTACCTGGCTTTGGGTGATTCCAAAGGAATTTGCGTGGTGTTGGTGTTTCTGGTACAATCCCTGAGTGGCTTGCCAGTCTGTGTATACAGCCCTGGTGGTAGATCTGACAGTTTAAAGTTAGAAACCAAACAGAACTCACAGTAGTATCACCATTCTGGGAAGGAACAGTGGGGCCATCAGGACAGGAATACTTGTTAAGGTAATTACTGCTGAGTGGATATTAGGAAAAGCAAACTCAGTTTCTCCTATTATCTGCCACAACACAGAACACGCCTGTGAACAGATGTACCAAGCAATTGGACAGTGTCAGATTCCAAAGGCGAGAGCTCAGTCATGTGACACCGGCCTCCCCTTCCCATGTCAGTCACCAGCCCCAGATGGGTTAGCCTCTGCTTCTGATTCACCAGTTATAAGTTGTGGGTCCTTATACCTACCTTGAAAGGCAGGTGTAAGTAGGAAAAGACCAAGTCTGTACAGGCATGGTGGCTATGCACTCCTGTAATCCCTCATTTGGGGGCTAAGGCAGGGAGGATTGATAAAAGTTTGGAGCCAGCCTGGGCTACATAGTGAGTTCCAAGCCAGCATGGGCTACAGAGTGATAAAACAAAAAAGGAAACAGAACAGGAACCAGTCTGCTCAGTGCCTTTACTGTAGACATCCTTAGAAAGTTCTAGAAGTGCTCCAGCATAGAGGAGTTTGGTTCCTAGTATACCCAGTGCCCTCTCTTAGATCTTAGAACTCACTCTTCTCACTGATGCTATCGCAAGCTTTTAATTGCAAGAGTCCTCCAGAGAGGCTGTGTGGTTTAGTCTGACTTTGAGTAAAACCTGCTAGTTCAGGAAATGCAGTGGATTTTCTTACAGCAGGCACCAGTAAAGCAGGTGCTGGTTTACAGGACGGGTTCTCTTCCTTAGTGACAATTTGAAGCTTTGAAGGGAGGCATTTTCTGTGCATCAAAAGGAATTAGAATTTAACTTTTGTGTGTGCTCATACTGATGAGTAAAAGAGGAGAGACACATCCCTTCGTTACTGGGCATGCTCTCCCTGGAGGCATCTTTGTAGGGTGTATATGTGCATGAGAGAATAGTGTGTGTGTATGTGTGTCTGAGTCTGTATGTGTGTCTCTTTGTGTATGATGTGTGTGTATGTCTCTAGGTTTTGTGTGTGTGTGTGTGTGTGTGTGTGTGTGTGTGTGAGATGGGGGTATCACAACTCTGGGTCAATGAGTAACATTTCCATCTCTTCAAATTCCAACCTCAGTTACTTCCAACTCCCTCCCATATGGCTCCAATCAGAAGTCACACAGATGCCCTGAACTTGAGGCTAAATCTGAAGTTAACGTTAACCCATCTGCCTCCATGGGTTTCTTGTTTAGAGAAACAGGATCAATTTCCAACTTAAAGCATTTCTGCCACTGGGTCCTCTCTCTTCATCTTCATCCATTCCCCATGCTGTGGTTTTCTTGTTGGATGTTTGACAGTCTACCCACCCCTCTCCATTCCCTGGCCCTGGCCTCAGCATCACTTACCTGCAGCAACTTCCAAGAAAAGAATATTCTTTGTTGTTGCTTTTTGAGATGGGGTCTCCTGTAGCTCATCCTGGCCTCCACCTTGATAAGTAGCCAAGGAAAACCTTGAACTTCTGATCATCCTGCCTCCACCAAGCACCGAGATCACAGGAATGAGGCCAGGCCCAGCTTTATGTGGTGCTGGGGATCACATCTAGGACTTGCTGCATGCTAGGCGAACACTCTGCCACTGACTGGATTCCCCAGCCTTCAAGAATATTCTTGCCT